TGTGTGTGTGTGTGTGTGTGTATTATTAATAGCCAATCAGAATGATGAAAAAAAAGATGTTTCTGAAGATTTCTTTCTTTATTTGTTTGATTTTTGTTTGTTTTGTTTCGGTTGTGTGTTCAAACATCAATCGTCAATCGTCATCGTCCGAAAATCGTTCAAGCTGGAATGACAGTATTTGATTCTGTTGTTGTTGTTTGGTTGGTTGTCATTAAAAAAAAAAGAATTCTGAATCAAGAAAGGATATTGATCTTTGACTTTTGTTGTTGTTGTTGTCCATCCATGTTTTTTTTTCTCGATGATGACAAATGACAACAACAACAAACAAACAAACAAACAAAAGTTTGATCCAGTTTTTTATTTTTGCTTATCCAATTTCTTCTTCTAAATATAAATCGATGTTTGCAAACCAAACCAACTAACCAACTGTTATTGCTGTTCGTTGGCTCTTCTTTTTTTTTATGTTATCTTTTTTTTTGCGTAGGGATTTCTCTCATTCACTCATTAGTTGTTGTTCAATAATAACCCACACACACACACACTGTAGATTGACAGATTATTTCATCTCTCTCTCCTAATCACCACCACCACCACATTTTATTCATTCAAGTGAATGGTTTTTTGTGTGTGTGTGTGGATATTTGAAAAGAATTATCAAATCATCATCATAATATTTTTTGGTTGCCAAAACAACAACAATAAAAAAAATCCATTGGTTTGTTGTTGCTTGTCGTTTTTTGTTGTTGGGAATATTCCATATTCTGATCCATTGAATCATAATCGTCACCATATTTTTGTCGAGAAAAAATTTGACCTAAATATTATCATTGAATTTGTGTTGGTTTAATTGATACCGAGGGAGGGGGGTTCCAAAATTTTTGGATCTTCTTTTGTCTGTGAAGATGAAATTTGAGATTTCTCTGTGTGTGTGTGTAACATGATAAAATTTCAGTTTTTTTTGCAGAAAAAAAATCTGAATTTTTATCAATTTAAAAGATGAAAATAACCATTTGGTTGTTCAATTATGCGATCAATCTTATCTTTTTGAATGAATAGTCCTTTCGTTATCTATCTGTTTTGTTGATATTAAGAATATAGCCATTTAACTGTCTAAGATTTCAATATCATCAGTTATCAGTAATGGCCATCATTTTTCGAATAAGGGATAGAATTTCGGATTAAAAACCAGAAAAAAACAAACAAAATCCCATTCAAAACATAAAGTATCAAATCAAGAATATCAAATGACACAGACACACACAGAGTAATGTCGAATAGCCAGACAATTGTTTCAAAAATCAGAAATTAATATTATCAAAACAAATCAAAGATAATGATGATGATGACGATGGTAGTCTTTAATCTTTTTTGATGATGATTATGATTTGCTACCATCGTTTGTTTGTTTTGTTGTTGTTTGTTCTTTGACGCAATCAAAATTGATTTACATGATGTAATTTTTTCTTGTTTTGGTTTTGGTTTAGATGAATGAATGTTATTCCATTTATTTTAATGATGGTTTTTAGTCGTAAACAATTAATGAATGAAATGAAATTCATCGAAAATCATTTTTGAAATTGTCGTTTTTTTCCATCATCGTCATAATCATTATTATCATCATTTTTCGACTTTTGTTTCAATTTTAATAAATAGTTTCTTTTTGGTTTTTCAAATGAAAAGAATATTTTGTCGTCGTCGTCGTTATCATAATTAAATTGTGGGAAAATAAACAAAACAAAAAAAAAGGAAAAATTAGAGCAGAGAAAAAAATCTAAACACAAACAAAAACTTACTTTACAATTATTTCATCATCATTTTTAGTTTCTGATCGTATAATTTCATTGATAATTTCTTTACGTATCAATTTTCGATCATCATAATCACCGGTAATGAATATTTTTGCCAATTCAAATTGATTAGGAAATTGATTGTTAACAATACGATTATCATCATGAATGAATCGTTGTAAATAAACTTGTTGACAACGATCAAGTTGTTTGAAATGATATTTAGTATGAAAATGATGAAGATTTTTCATTGCTAATCGAATATTATAATTGAATGCATGTAAAAAACCAAATGATTGTTCAACATTCCATTTGTTTGTTGTACGACATAATTCAATAAATTCATTCAATTCTTTATCATTATCATTATCATTGATAATATTTGGTTGCCAAACAAGTTGATCATCATGATTGTTTGAAACAATATTACCATGTTTATCTGGCGTTATATAATCCGGTATATTTGTCATTTTTTCCCCTCGAATAAATTCCAACAAAATATTCGATATTTCAAAACTCCCAAACTGCTCACATTTGCTCGATTCGTTCGATTTCCTTTCTTTAGGCCATTCATAAATGACGATTTCATTTTCATCCTTCGAATGATCAAGATTTTTTTTTTTGTTTATCTTCAAATTTTTTACAAATTTTTCATTATTTTCATCATTTTCCAATCCCAAAAACACAGGTAAAACGGTACCATTTGTTGAATTGGTTGTTGCACATGGATCAATATTGACCATATTGGCTATTTCATTTGAAAGGGTAAGATTTTTGTTTTTGTTTTTTCGTTGTTTCACAATTTGCCTTTTTTTAAAATCGATTTTTCTTTTTTTTTGTTGATTTTACTTAATAATTATGTTTACAAAACGATAATATCGATAGTATTATGCAATATGTTTACCATTAAAAGCAAATTATCTTTGTACAAATCGTCGTGCAATTATAACTGTTTGTTGTTTATGGACAATTGCAATATTGGCTACAATGCCAATATTATTTGTTACCGAATTAGTTGATGCAATATATATTGATGGTTCAATTGTATCTACTTGTATAACAAAAGTAAATCAAGAATGGCAACGTTTATATTATATAATAACAATTATCAGTTTTTTTGTCTTACCATTAATTATATTGATTATTGTTTATTGGATTATTATAAAACGTTTAATACGTGATGATCATCGTTTATTGATTGCATCAACAACAATTAATCAACCACCAAAATCATTATTAATTTGTTCAACAATCAATAATAATAATAATAATAATGATGATTATTGTTGTAAAAAATTACGTTCCAATTCATTAACACAACAACAATTTGTACAAAATTGTAAACAATCATCATCATTGAATAATGAATTATCATCGAATACGAATGATTCAAATACAAATCCAAATCAATCATCATCATCATCGAAATGGCATAATACGGCCAATATGTTTCTATTTCGTGATTCATTAGCATCGTTAGGTATAAATAGTCGTCATAATTCAACATCGGAAATATCTTGTTCAAATCATCATCAACAAAATCAAAATCAAAATCAACAACAACAACTACAACAACAATCAAATTCAAGAAGAAATTCATCCGTAATTGTTTATCGATCACGAAGACAAGTTATCATTATGCTAATTACTGTGGTTATTTGTTTTTTTATTTGTCTATTACCATTTCGTATATTTACAATGTGGTTAGTGATTGTCGAAGAAGATACTATTCGAGCACTGACAATGGAACGTTTTTATCAATTATTATATTTTTGTCGTATTATGATTTATGTTAATTCAATGTTAAATCCATTATTATATGCTGTTGTATCAAGTAAATTTCGTCATGCATTAGTCGATACAATATGGCAATTATTGAATTTTTTCTATTATATTTGTTGTTGTTGTTTTTGTTGTTGTTGTTGTTGTGGTTGTTGTTCAGATTCGGATACCGAAACAGAAATATCATCATCATCATTGGATACAATCAATACATCAAAACATCAATCAAAATTACAACAGCAACAACAACAATATTATCGTAATCGTAATCAAATAAATCGACGACAACAACAACAACAACATCGTAAAGCAACCGGTGGTAGCTGTGGCTGTCATAATGTTGGACAATTATTAAATCAACGTAATCGTCGACGTAAATTATTTCTTATGAGACAATCAACAACGCTAACAACAACAACAGCATCATCATCATTAACAGGTGATGGTTCATTAAAACAACAACAACAACAACAAAATAATAATAATTCAATCCGTTCGACAGTGACGAATTATATACCATCATCATCAATTGATGGTACTATTACAACGATAACTTCAATAAATTTAAATCAACCAAACATCAATGATGATGATGATAATGATGAAACAAATCAAATTAATCAAACCAAAAAGATAATGAATAATCAAATTATACAGAATTCATTTGATTCAATACAATCATCATCATCCAAATCATATGATTCAATTAATTCTTCTAGTCATCATCATAATCATCATTGTTATCCAAATCGTTCTGTATCATTTGAAAATTCATCATCATCAATACAATCGGATACAATACCATCATCATCATCGGTTATAATGGTAAAAACAAATTTAGAATCATCATCATCACCATCAAAATCAATAATGAATTCAATTTATTCATCAAAACATACGGCTGAATATCGTCGTAAATGTATGATGAAACGTTCATCACGTGTATCGATTATTGATGAACATGATGATGATGATAAATCGATTGATACTCATCATCATCATCATCATCATCATCATCAACAGCAACAACAAACGAAGAATGTTGATCAAAATGAATCATCACCACCACCATCACCATTATTATCATCATCAATCATTGAAGAAATATTGAATGATCCAAAATTTGTAACATATGAATCCTATGTTTGAGCAATTTTTTTTTTGAGCCAAAATTTTACAACAAAACTCTCTCAAAACAATTTTCTCTTGTTTCATTAATTAACATTTTTGTTTTTGTTTTTTCTGTTTTTTGAAAAAGTCTTATTTATTTATTCAATCTTATGTATACATTTTACACATACAAACTTCATCATTTTTGGAAGAAAAAAAAATTTACATTAAAAAAAATGAAATGTTTTTTGATCTTTGGATGGATCCAATGTCTTGATGTTTTTATTGCGGGAAATTTTCTTCTTCATTCGGTCCGGTTCGGTTCAAAAATCACTATTTTTCTGATCTGAATTAATAAACTTGAACTTCGAAACAGAAAAGTAGCGAGCGAGAGAAAAAAAATGTCGTAGAACTTGTCTTTTTTTTACATTTTTGGTGACAAAAATCAAAAATTTACAAACTTGTAATACTTGTTGAACATTTGATTTGTTGTTATGCATTTTCTTTTCAGTGATTTTAAGATTTGATTTCGTTTGCTGATAAACAGAAAAATGTTTAATGACCATGTGAAATGAAAATGTTTAGATTTACTTACTTACTTAGTAAGTGTGTGATATTGGAAATACTTTTTTTTCAAAAAAGAGATATCGAAAGAGAGAGAGAGAGAAACAAACGATTACATTATGAATTTTTGCATTTTTGCAAATGTAATGCAGTGAATGAAAAATGAAATGAAATGAAAGATTGAAGATTGAAAA